CAGTTGTATTTAAGCTGCAACAACACTTACATTCAGTACAGGTCTTTAGGTGCAATTGACAACGAAAATAAACATCACGGGTGCCCTTCATGTTTTTCTGTAAATGTTTTAATCTGATGGCAAGTTCTTTTTATCCTTTCATTTGAGAGGTGGGAAACTGCCAGACAGGGAGGGGAGGATTAAATGCTTGAGCACCTTCAGCACCTTCCGGTTAACCAAAAGCAAAAAGACAAGAAAGACTGCAAGTGAACAAGTGAATCATAGATGAGCTATGTTAGGAAAAATGCTTCGGTGGCTCATTGCTTAATAAGAGCTTCCAACTAAATTCCTTCTATTTCACATGCTGTCTTTTCTTCTGTCACCGCACCTGATTCCTGCTTTTTCATTTTATCTCAACTTTTGTATTTTTTTCTCTCCTGTACTGTCACTCTTTGTTTCCTCATTCATCTCTGCCCTGTGCTCATCTGCACCCATAGCAAGAGAACCCCATATACAAGAGTCCCATCAATCAGTTCCAGAACCCAAACTATGGACGTAAAGCTGCTGTTCTTTAAGTTTGTATTTCTTTTACTTTCCACTTGGTTTTCCCTGCACGGGCTGTTTATGTGTGTGCTGTGATCTCTCTCTCTCTCACCTGTCTTTTTAAAGACCTACAGACTCTGCAGCTACATTAAGTGTAGATTAATGAAGACTGCATGAACAGGCTGTGACAACCAAAGTTGCTTGGTGATTTTTACCTTCTGGTGTTTAGTATGTGGTCACAAAAGCATGTCTGTTTGCAAAGTGTGATACAACAAAAACTGAAACTAAATTCTGTGAATATCCCAAGTTGTTGTATATTTAATCATAACCGGTGTTTTTGGAAGAATAACACACACACACACAAACATGCATGGTTTGATTGAGTTTTAGAATTTGACCAAATTTCAACTTTTCTTTTCCAGGGTGAAAATCCAATCTACAAAAGCGCCGTGACGACTGTGGTCAATCCCAAATATGAAGGCAAATGTTAGCTCCACAGTTCAGCTCTGCTATCAAGTATCCGACAGCCGCAGCCTTTACCGTAGCTTTGAGTTCTGACAGGAGCGTGCGGAGGAATTTATGTGCATTTTTTTTCCTATTTGCTTTATCATTACAGTGTATACATTTGCCCACTGATTCAGTATTTTTACTAACACTTGATGATATGATTTTTATGCATTTGTTGTATTTTAGATGTACAGTATGTGTATATACTTTTAAGTTGCGTATTAGTTCTCCTGCCGCTGGACTGGTACGGGCAGAGGACTTGGCTTTTTTTTTAGCAACACAGCGTAGACGCCATGGATAATATAACACGTGCACAACACTCCTTCAGCTTCTGTCTGTCTCTACTCGTCTGACTCTGTCTGCACTGACCTCCTGTGAGTTTCTGTATGTTTGCTGACAGGGCCTGAGTTTAATATGTAAATTCTTGGCCATATCAGGACAGTATGCCGGTGTGTATATATCGAAAACAACTGCAATAGGAAGTACTGAGTAATGTTGAGCATTCGACTTAGATTAGGCTATTGCACAGTCTATTATACAGTATATATTATATTGAGTGCGGCGTAAGAACATCTAGTGATTCAAATATCATTAAAGGGAATGCATACCACTTGTTCAGATTTTGAAAATGTGGTGGTAATGAACAATCAATGGAGTTTTATTACTATAAAATAAATTACTGCTTAACTAATGAGATATGATTGTATATGGTAAATGAAGTAACTTTGACACTCATTCTCAGGTCCTTTGCTGTCTTCTTTTCAAGTACACCAAACGCATGTCCTGTCAGTGAACTGGTGAAGTTGCCCGTTTGATCCGATCGTGCTGGTTTGTTTTTGAGACTGTGAGGCTGAAACTGTCTTTGAAACGTCACATGAAGAACCTCTGAAATGTTTCCCAAACCCAAATGCCTCTGATACCACACTCAAGCCTTTTACAGTATTATTTTCAAAGTGCCTTTTATCTCAGTATCATGTTCTCCCACAGTGCTGTTTATGACTTATTTATTAAATAATGGACAAAAAAAAGTGTATTTTCTTTCTTTCAGGTGTTTCATTTGTGGACGGGCTGTAAATACTGTTAGGTTCATAAAGTTTGTGGACGATAATTCAGTTTTTTTTAAGTTTGCATGTGTAAGCAATCACAGCAGAGTGTAAATGAAACAGTCAAGTCAATATGTGATGGAAGCGCAGACTTTCAGCTTTTCAGCTTGCATGAACTGTTTAGGAATTATGGACATTTTTATGCACAATCACAAAATTTCAGAGTCAAAAGTAATTGGGGAGTTGATTGAGAAGTACAAGAGTTATTGTGTTTTCTAATTAGTTTTTATTTTATTTTATTTCTTTTTTTTTTTAAATTTCAATTCAGTTTAGTTTCACAAAGGTTTGATATTTCTTCTATATTTTTATTTGAGTTTAGTTTTCCAAGTTCACAGTATCGTTTCAGTTAGTTTGAATTATTTTCCAAAATTCGAATTATCCCATCAGCTGCAAGCATCTTGGGATAGGCACCAGTTTAGCTCGGGTGTGAGCATTTGACCATATGCAATATAGCCGGAGAGCAATAGGCCTGGGTTCCGGTTTGACCCGTGGCTCTTTGCTTCATGTCTTCCATTTCTCTCTCCCCACTTTCCTCTCTGTCTTCACTGTCCATATTCAATAAACCCCCCCAAAAAATATCTTGTATTCTTAACCTCCTAAGACCTGAACACTTTCATTGCAAGCATTTTTAATTTATCTTTGAGCCGTGAGCTGAAGAACAGCATGTCAGGGGAGGAGACTTTGATACATGTTGACTTCTCAGAAAACTACAGCTGTAAATACAGTTCTCAAGTTCAGGCAGTCCACTTTGGGGCTTCACATCAGCAGGCCATCCTTCATACTTGTGTGTTGTATGTTGGTGGACTCTCAGTGCCTGTGTGCTTTAGCACCATCTCCCCCAGTAGACATAAAGGCCCTCCAGCAATATGGCAGCACCTAAATCCTGTGCTAGATTACCTTCAAGGCCAACATCCACAAGTGTCTGCGCTGCACCTTTTAAGCGACGGAGCCTGTACGCAATACAAACAACCAAGAAACTTCTACCTTTTCACTACAGAACTGGACAGAAGAGGATTCAAGGCTGGCTCTTGGAATTTTTTCGAGGCTCGTCATGGAAAAGGAGCACCAGATGGTGTCGGGGGAGCCTTAAAAAGAGCAGCTGACATGATGGTAGCAAAGGGGCATGACATCCCAGATGCAGAAGAGTTATTCAGGGCCTTTTCTGAAACAAACACAAGTGTGAAACTGTTCTTTGTGAAAAGTGAAGATGTTGAGGAAGCTATGAAGAAAATGCCAAAGCAGATACCAGCTGTTCCTGGAACCATGAGAATTCACCAGGTCATTACTGGAGCTCCAGGAGAACTGATGGTTTGTGATGTAAGCTGCATGTGCAGTTTAACTGCAAGTGCTGCGACACCAAGTGTTTCACTTTTGGCCAGAAGATAGAAACAGCTGTATCACAGGCAGGCAGTGGGGGGAATCCAGAAAAAGAAATCCAGTGGGAAAGTCCAGAGCTGATTGGTAAATGGTGTATCCTCAGATATGATGATGATTTGTAAGTATGTATGTAAATAGCAAAGTTGCTATTTGGGCTGATTAGGAACTGATGAATTTAAAAACAAAGAATTGCGTGATTTATTTTTTTTTTTATTACCTTATTTTTGTTTCTGAGAAAAATGAGATCCACATATGAGGATTCACTTTAAATTTCGATAGAACAGTGGCAGTATAACGCCCTCATAAGTGGATATCAGATCCTTGTAGAGGAAAATTTAGCATTTTGGTCTATACAACCCAAAATGTGATTTCCACATATGTGGACGCCAGGTCCTAGGAGGTTAAAAAAGGCTGATGGAGTATAGTTGACTGTTTTGACTAAAGACAAAATAAAATTGTATTTGGTATTCTACATAGGTGTAATTACCTTTTGCCATTGTCGAGCTAGTTATGGACCTGACCATAAGAGGACCAAAAATGTAGCCTTTGAAAACAACATATATTGTTTTGTACAGTTACATGTGTAAATACTGACCAAAAACCTTCCCTGTCTTTAGAATAGGATTAGATTTGCAGGGTAAATTCATTTGAAAACATTAATAAGATCATGTTCAGTGATACTGGTGAACATGAGTGGAAAATTCATAGGAGCCTATATTTTTCATATATAAACCAATACTTTTTTGGTACACAGAGGGCAAGAAGTAAAATTCGGTGACATGCATAAATACCTCATGTAAACAAATGAGCCATTTTCAAAATGTCAAAATTGCCAGTCACAATCAATTCACTGTGACTGTCACTGACATAAGAATTTCAAATGGTTGACTTTGAAATTACATTAGTAACAAATGTATCGGAGCGTGAAAAATCCCCGTTTAAAGAGTCCAGTAGCAAATATACAGTACTATTAAAATGACACGAACACATGACGTCGACATGTTGCAACACTGCGTCCTTCGTCTTACATAATCTTCTCCCAAGATATCCTGTAAGATCTCCAGCGGAAGTAGTGACAAGTCATACCGGAAATGGTTGGAGTGAGACGTCTCACCAAAGGGCTGTCATATTATTATCTGTGCTGTGAGCTGTAAACAGGAACGCAAGTTAGTCAGCTTCACTTTAACAAGTCTCTTTTAGAGATTTACTGAGAGTAACACAGCATACAGTGAAGGAAGAATGGAAGACGACGTGCTTACCACGCTGAAGATACTGATAATAGGAGAAAGCGGCGTTGGGAAGTCCAGGTAAGACCAAGTGATCAACAAAGTGATGTCGTGGCTCCCTGCTAACGTTAGCCAGCGCTAGCAGGGATGTAGCAGGTAACCAAATGTGTGGATAAAGAGAATTTAGTTTTTAAAACGATGTAGACGGTTCAGTGCTGGTTTGTCCTGTTCTTTATTCTAACAGAGGTCAGACTGTCTTGGTACAACATGTACAAGAAATGCTTACAGTGTGCACACTGTTTAGCTAACGCATTAGTCAGATGCCAGAAGCTCTGTACGTGACATCAGCTATGTGCACGTCTGACATAATTGCTAGAAACAGGCTGTTTTTGTTCACACTAATTTGATGGCTAAACGAGAAGCTGACACTCTTTTAAGTCCATTTACTTGTACTGCTAGCATCTCCGTCATTAAGAACCCAGCAGAAGGATCGATCCGAACCGGTCACGCTCAAGTAAGCGTACCCCTTCTCCAGATGGGACTTCAAAACATGTAAACGATACACTTGCTCTTGTCGTCATGTGGTAATCAGAGTCCTTATTAACAACCACAAATCAACCTGATAATATTCCACGCAGGGTAAAATGCTTTTTACCCACATCAGCATGGAAGTTTATAGCGTGTGTCCCTGCCAAAAGAGATCATGATCCAGGTTTGCAGGTCTCCATAACAGTGGTCCCGGCTGCTGGAGGAATTCTGATAGCCTTCCTGAGCCATCAACCATCACATTGTAGACTATGGTGTTGACTACAAGCGTGCCTTCCATAGCCATAGAACATTCCGAGAAAATTATGCCATTGTAAGCCTTTAAACAAGTTCTTGACCAAAAGTACACCCATCTATTGAAAATAGACCAAAGAGAGGCAATAATAAGACTTGGAACTTCAGCATCAACAAGGACAGAGTGTTAAAGTTAAAATCAGCTAGGTTTTAAACCAGAAAGCAGAGATGATAATTAATAAAAAGTTTGCAGTAATTTATGTTCTTTGCAGCTGATATTTTAACGCCCAGGACTGTGTCCGCTATTAGCTGAAATGTTTCCAATTTCCTGGGTCAGTTCATTCATGTGCAACATGTGTCTACTTATACTAAAGAGTTCCCTTTTTTTTTTTTTTTTTTTTTTGAACAGGGCTTGTACTGCTAGTTGGCATCTTTTAATGGCTAGTCTGTATAAGCTCTGCCCAGAGGAAGGACTGGCTTTATGCCGACACCATAACACAGATCTGTGTTTGCTTATATTTCCAGAAAACAGAAGAATATCTAGACGGCTGTACTGCATGCTGTCTGCCGTGGCATCGTCCAGGCCGTGATGCATTGTTTCCAGAAAGCAATTTAGTATTATTATTAAATAGGATTTCGCTTAATACAATAAACAAAATCAGACCATGATTAGTTTCAAATGTCCTAATTTGAATCATCCATAGCCAGCTTTGGTAATATCAAATAGGTACACTTATTTTTGAATAGTTTACAGATATTTATTTTGTTTCCCTGCAATCTGAAGGCCCTTAAATCATGACAGATTTGAATGCTTGGCAGGGAATGTATGTGTTTCATGTTTCCTGACCTGTACAGAATACATTTCTAACTTGGCTGTTTCCCTGCATGAGTTCATCAGCCATATGGCCCTCAAACAATAAACACTTACTGCTTCAGCATCTCTTCTGATGGCCCGTGAGGAAAAAGTACGAGAATTATGTCTGGGTCAAGGGAGAGGAGCGAGCATCTTGCCATCGTCAGCGGGGCTGTTAAGGCCTTTGCACTCGATTAGTCATGGTTAAGAAACGAACCCTGTCCTCCTGACTGCAATCTAGTGGTGATGTCATCTGGAGCTTGACATCACCTCTTGCTTGCAAGTGAAGGACAGAGTGATCAATAGAAGGAGATAGAGAAAGAGACTGTCTCCTGCCGCAGGAGTCAGGGCAACTGGAAACCTGACTTCAGCTCAAAAGCATCCTGAAGAGAGGAGAATACAATTACTAAAAAACACACGTGTGAGTCATGATGAGGTCTAATCTACTTATTTCCATCTTCTTGTCAACAGCCTCCTACTAAGATTTACAGAAGACACATTCGACCCGGAACAATCAGCAACAATAGGTGAGTTGAACATGTGAGGTCTGTTAAAGGGTAAAATGGAAAAAATGTGGCTTTGTAGATCAGAATGTGCTGGCAAGTACAGGATCATCATCAGCAACAGCAGCAGAGATTAAATAAGACACAGACGTAGAGTAGTAAACAGTCACAAAGACAAGG